GCAGCTTTATTCATAATTGCTAAAAACATGGAAACAATCAAGATTCCTTCCATAAGTGATTAGATAATAAATCATGGTTCATCCTTAACATCAAATATTAGTGATTTCAAAAAGGGAGCTACAGAACCATGAAAAGACATGAAAGAAATCTTAAACACAAATTACTAAGTGAAAGAAGCTAATCTGAAAAGACCATATGACAACCATATGACATTCCGAGAAAGGCAAAACTATGGAAATAGTAAAAGATTAGTGTTTACCAGAATTCAGAGAGAGGGTGACATAAACTGGTGAAGCATGGAAGAATAACTGAAGAATGACTAAACAATTCTGTATGAAAATAAAATGATGGATATATGTCATTGGGCAATTGTCAAAATGCACAGAATATGCAACATCAAGAATGAAGACTAATGTAAATGATGGTCTATGGTTAATAACAGTATATTGATACTGGTTCATTAATTATAACAAAAAGCAAAGCCAAAACTGTTCTAGTAACTGTGGGTAGGATTTATGGTTGCATTTTTATTATCTATGATTCTGGTCTGGGTGTTCCTCAGACCACTTTTCTAGAAACACTGCTTACCACGTACTTCAARTAAACACAGCCAACAACTGACATGAGAAAAAGGTCAGCATTTGCCAATTCTAATCATTGCATTGTTAAGTAAGATGTGAATATAGAAAAACTGTAGGAGGAATAACTCTATGAAACTCCATGAACTATCTGCTCAATTATTTTGTAATATATACTAACCTATACTAAAAATCGGGTCTATTTATTATTTTAAAAAACTCTAATAAATACTTTCAAATACTAAAGAAAATCACAACACAGCAATTGCACAGCACTAGTTCATAGCAATATAAAGGAAAGGCTTCCGCAAGGAGACCTGAACCATGCCAGGTCTTAATGGCAAGTGAGAAAGGAGACAACACATGTGTGGGACCTTGTTGAAAGAAAAAAGTAGTGTACAAGTAACAGGTCGTAACCTATGAGGCTGAGCAGAGCTGCAAATGCAGATATTTCAGAAAGTTTCTAATCAGTGCTCAGAACACAACAGCTCAGTGGACTCTGCCTCTACCATGGGAAGTAGCAGCCCATGCTATTGCTCCCTAATGATTTCTCCCAATTGGCACCCAAAGATTTGGATCCCCAGGAAGACCACTGTCCTGGCTACCCCCATGCCAAGTAAGCCCCTCATCTCCTCTGCACCATGAGGAAAGACAGGTTGCACCACTGTGCATCCTTCTCTGTGGTCTGCAGTCAGAGCCCATTTTGCAGAATTGGCATATAACCAAAGTCAGTCAAACTGGCTGACTGAGGTATGCTCTTCCATGCCAGTCAGCATGAGCCCACCGAGAGAGGTTTCACTGGTTCACCTGCAGATCCTCTCCCCAGAAGACACATACTTAAGACTATACTCTTCTAGGAACCCTTCCACAACCTCCAAGGAGAGTCCAACTGGGCCATGAAGCCCAAGGAACTTCAGCCCAGCCCTAAAAGTGGTTCAACCCACTTTTATCCAGGTTGAGTGGCACCTATCATAAGCTAAATTGTATTCATCCCAAATTCTTTTGTTGAATTCTTAACTTCCATAGTTCAGAACTATAGCTGTATTTTACAGATAAGGCTTTTAGTGAGGACTAAATGAGGTCATAGTGGGTGGGTCCTCATCTAATTGGATTACTATCCTTACAAGAAGAGGAGATAAGAACTCAAAGACACCCACATGAACAGAGCAAATGCCATGTGAGGACACAGTAATAAGACAGCCTTCTGCAAACCAAGGAGAAAGGCCTCAGAAGAAATCAACTCTGCCAACATCTTGATTTTGAACTTCTAACTTTCAGAACTGTGCAAAAATAAATTTATGTTATTTAAGCCACCCAGTCTGTGGTATTTTATTATAGCAGCCCTAGCAAACTATAACAGTATCTAACAGACAAATGAAAGAAAAACAGCCATGCCCAATAATAGGAAACATAAAATCTCACACACATATTTATAAAATAAGCACGACTGTTTGCATTCTGAATTTATATGACCCACCTACCTCAGAATTTATGAAATACCAAGAATTAAGATATAATTTACATTAGAGAAATTTAATATTGACCTTTTGAAAGGGCTCACATAAAAATGCCCCTTTAAAGGACATGTTTTTCTAATACTTTTACACTGTGAACTAGCTTTTAAAAATTAAAGTTTAAAGTAGCTTTTGGTGTAATATATCTAATATATAAAGGTAAGATCCACTATACATAAATTGTGGTTTTTAGCTCTGCTGAGGTCCTCTGAGCTACTTCAGAAGGCCTCAGGGAATTCACCTAGGCAGGCACTATGGGGCTAGAGGTCCAGTGGGCTGACTTAAACTAATCAGGGCAGCTATACTGACACCTCTTCTCCTGCTGAGGTTATATGAGATTCTCTTTGATTAACCATTTTACTAGTTAAAAAATTAAAAGTATGAGAGTCATCAGAAAAAGTTATTATTTCATGATTTTTAAAATAGAAAATCAGGACATAAAACGGCTATAGATTACAGTTATCATATACATGGATAATTAAGATTATCTTCCACTCTTAAARGATATCTCAGGAGGAACACATCTTCAGAATTTTTAAATACTTATCAAGAGTAGGGAACTTCATGAGTTGCCTGAGGAGGAGCTTTTCTCCAGGATACAATTTATTAATCATTACATAAAATCTTAACTAACACTCAGTCTCTACCAGTAAACAGGTATGCTTTGTAGCCCTCAGCTGGTTGGGAAGGAAAGATGTTCTTTTCTACAGCACAGAAAACTGAAGTGAAGAGAGTTAATAATTTGAGAGTGAATGTAGAAATCATGCTCAGTGCTCTTCAGGCAATGGGACAGAGACTCATTTAACATCCTGACAGTTTATTAAACTTCTCAAAAACTGCCTTCTCTCCATAAAATTAGGAGATAAAAATTATCTGGAAGTTTCTTAAAATTAAAGAACACACTGCATGTAAAATGTCAAATGCTTTGTGCATAGCAGATGCTCAACAAGTCTCCCAACTCCCACCTTCCCTTGCAGTCTTACAAATGGACTAGTGTGTAGGACTGCAAGGCATAGGGAACCAGGTGGATTCTTTCCTTAAAATATTGGACTCCTTTAAAAAAAAAAGTTTTGACATTTAAAAATGTCTTGCTGCTGGTTTTATGGGGACCCCTACATCAATTGCTGTTCTCACAGGAACACTCCACCTTGATCTACACAGACACCATTGCCTTTCTGAGACTAATACAAAAAATAACTTTCCTACAGGAGCAAGTTTTATTATCAATGACAGAGAAATCTCCTTGAATTTAAAACACTTGTTTTTATTTTAAATAATGTGTTTTGGCAATAAACTAAGTTATAATAGTTTTAGAATACTTAATTTATGACTTTAAGAAAATTAGTTTGTTTATGTAATGGACTTACTTGTGTGGGTCTAAATAAAATAATTAGGAAGATAAGTCTATACCTAGCATATAGTCATTGATCAATAAATAACGGTTACACAAATAAAGACAAACTTGCTACTATTTTTACAATCAAAATTAAAATGTTGAGAGGGAGTACAGAGATTTTAAGTGGAACCTTTTGGTTTTAAGAAGAAATTCAATTCCAAAGACTGCAAATAAACTGATGAATTGCTATATATGCTTTTTTATTAGAAATGTATAGATAAAATTAAATTTTTAAAATAAAAAATAGAACTATTTAAATTTTACATCAACATTTATTGAGCAAAACACACACACACACACACACACACACACACACACACACACACCTGGCCTGGTCTAAGTATTTTATACTTTCCTCTTCATACTTTTAACCTTCATGACAAAGTCTACATGGAAAAAATATTGTCTGCAATYCCCAATTTACAAATGGAGAAACAGAGACACAGATCATTAAATAATCTGCCCAAGATAATACATGATTATAGTTCAGGCAATTTGACTCCGGACCCCACAATTAACTGTTTTAAATGGTATTAATATTCATTTATAAAATACATTTTATGAACAGTTAATAATCAGGATTTTTAAATATGTCAAGCTCAAAATATTTATATACTAGGAATCAAATTTCTGACTTTGTAGTGAAAGTGGTTTACTTGTGTAGCATTTCACAATACTTTTCTAAGGAAACCACACACACACACATACACACCATGGATTAAGAACATAATTTTAAAGCTTTTTCAGAGTCTCCTTTATGGACAATTTTAAAAGAGAAAAGAAACCCCATTCCATTCTATGAAAATTAGTCCCAAGTTAATTTAAAAGATGCCATTGTAAAGTCTTAAATTAAACAATTTACATGTATATGGAAAATATAAATGAGAAGACTTTAGATTCTACTGTTGTTCTGTAATACAGTAAGTTTCTAACAAGCGTTACAATAATTTTTTATAGAAAAATTTTATCAAACTGACTTATTTTTAATAAGTATATTTTAAAAAGAAAATATACATGAATGATGATTTAAAACTAACACTAAACTGGGTGCTATGGTCCACGCCTGTAATCCCAGCAGCTTGGGAGGCTGAGGCAGGAGGATTTGGAGTTCAAAGCCAGCCTCAGCAAAAGCAAGGTACTAAGCAAATCAGTGAGACCCTGTCTCTAAGTAAAAATACAAAACAGGGCATGGGATGTGGCTCAGTGGTTGAGTGCCCTTGAGTTCACTCCCTAGAACACCACCTCCCCCACTTCCCAGAAAAAAACAAATTAATACTAAAAGAAGCTCTCAGGCCTGCGACCCTGCTCACACTGGCAGAATGATAAAGAAGGGGGAGAAAACAAAACAAAACCACAAAAGCAACTGGACAAGGAAATCCAGGTTTAATGCCATTTAAAGACAACATTTCTGATGACAAAGTCCACTTGCAGTACACCTTAGAAATAGGATTTTTAATGACATACAGATAAGTGTTCTTAGAATTTTTCCACACCTAATTTTTGTTGCTTACCTGAAACCCATGCTTGCCTCTCCACCATGTACTTAACACTTTGGGGGGCATATCAATAACGGAAACAATGTCTCCCACCTAAAAGAATCAAAATTTTAGTAAAATTGTTTTAGTTCAATTTTAAATCAATTGCTATACCTAGAGTTTAAATTTGAACTGCACAAAAGGACAGAGTACTATTTTATGCTCTGGCTAATAATTTCTGGAAAAATATATTACCTCTTTTAAAATAATTTAATAATCTTACTTTTTGCTAAGGAAAGTTCTAAAAAAATGTTAAGCAACACAAAAACTGTGATCTTAGTAACTCATATGCAGTAATGTCAGAAAGCTAGATTTTAGATGAAGATTTTTTTTAATGCTAGGTATCATACCATTATCATCAGTTATGCTTTAAAATACTGACTCCTATGTGTATTGGGTTGGACTATACCATGGTGCAAAAGTGATATGCACTCGGTAGAAACTGTGCTTCAAATTTTGAATTTTGATTGTTTCCCAGGCTAGTAATATGTATAATACTCTTCTGTGATACTGTGTAACATGGAGCCACATCTCCAATCAGTCATGTCACAAGGGCAGACAACTGAGAAACTACAATGCCCTTGTTGCTAAGCCAGGATGTTCAGTAGGTTAGGCATGTTTGATATATTTTTAACTTAACAGTATTTTCAACTTAAAATGGGTTCAGTGGGGTATAACCCCATGCTAAGTTGTAGAACTTGTGTACTTTGTAACCACTGTCACTGGAAGCAATGAGATTCACTTACAGAAGTTTCAAATACTCATATTTAAAACAATAATACCATTAATGTTACCATTATGTTACCATGTGCAAGCCATTATACTGATATATCTTATTTAATCATATAGGAAAGGCCCAAGATGGATTGTTCTTAGTAAGTACAAAATGTGATGACAATTCAACTCCTTTCAACAACCCACTATAGTCCAACACTCCACTATAGACCTAACTTTCTTCATTGTAAAAAGCAAGCTAGTGAGTTTACATGAATATTTTAATAATTTTAATTATAATAATTAAGTAATATATTTCATAGAAGTTATATTCCTCCATCAAAACAAGTGCTATTATCTATGAAAAACAAAATTTAATACTTAAGAGCACTAAAACTAATATACAAATTTTTAGGAACCTACATATTTACTCTGACTTCTCAAGTCATGACTAAGCCATCTTCATAGTCATATTTGCTAAGAGATATGATATCTTTGAAGACCTGCATTTCTTTCTGCACAGAACCTAAGAGTGTAGTTTGAAAACCATTCAGAAGCTAGACAGTAAAAACTGATACTCTTCTATCTTAAATTGAATAACTGTTAGCATTTGTCTTTTACCACCTGAGACATAGTTTTAGAGGAAGAAATGTAATTCCCTTCTCCTTTTGCATCTGATCAAGAAATATTCATTCACCCTCCGTCTGGTCCTTTAACTCAATCTTTAAACAAACATTTTTAAAAGGTATTACTGGGTATCACCGTTTTTATGCACTAAAAGCACAAAGAAAGATATTGCTATCAAGAGGTCCACTGAAACAAACAGGAGGAAAACTATGATTAAATGTAATAATAGATAAGCCATGAAAGCTTTTCTGAATGACATTCATTCCAGCTTTTGGGGGTGTTATCTGCATGTAGTAAAGGTGAGGGATACCAAGGATGGCTTTCTAGAAGAAATGAGAGATGCTGAAGCTGAGTGTTAAAGGATGGACATGATCATTTAAACAAAAATAGAAAAGTTTCCAGGCCAAAAGATAAAGGACTTCAGAAATACCTGGTGCTTTTAATTTGTTAAAATTAAGTAAATGATTAAAACACTTAAGCATGAGGCTAGAAAGGTAACGGGGACTAAAGAACAAAATGCATAATTATTTACCTCTAATGTCAATTCATCTGGAGCCCGAGCAGTGTACCTCTTGATAACATGGGCAGCACCAACAGCAGGAGTGTTGATGGATGATTCCTCATGAACTAGAAGATGATTTCCCTTATTATCAATCTGTAATGAAGCACACATACTATGAGACRGTTAAAGACATGGAACCTGCACAAGTTTCTTTGACTACTTATAAAATATAATTCAATTTAATTTAGACAGATAATGATTCAAAGTCTTTTAAAAAACACAAATACCACTTATTAGATAGTTAATGTATGATAGTCATTGTGCTATGGCATTTAACATACATCATTTCAACACTATTTCAATGCTAAAGTTGGAAGAGGTTAAACAAAGAAAAAGTAATTCAATCTTTCATAAGATAGGAAAACATAAATTACAAAAACACATAGTATGTAATGGAAAAGTCAAGGTCAACAGTTCAATATGCTTTCTACTTTCCTTCTTGTCTTCCCAATTTCCGTTGGGAGTAGAAAATACATAACTATATGCAAATTAAGCACAAATATCTAACATATTTACAGGATAATGCTTCTTTTTTATTTTTTCAAAAAATAAATGACAGCGGAATGTATTACAATTCTTACTACACATATACAGCATAATTCTTCCTCTCTCTGGTCTTTTTATAAATATTTATTTTTTAGTTGTAGTTGAATACAATACCTTTATTTTATTTATTTTTATGTGGTGATGAGGTTCGAACCCAGGKCCTCACATGTGCTAGGCAAGTGCTCTACTGCTGAGCCGCAACCCCAGCCCCTACAGGATAATGTTTCACTCAATATACTCTTAAATCAGATCTTTTAAAATAGCTATTACTTGTTTGTAAATAAGTGAAAAACATTTTCAATTATTAGTTGGGCAAGGTAGTGCTCATCTGTAACCACAGCAACTTGTGAAGCTAAGGCAGAATAGCAAGCTCAAAGCCAGCCTCAGTAACTTAACAAGRTTTTGTCTCAAAATAAAAAATAAAATGGGTTAGGAATGCAGCTCAATGGTAAAAGCACCCCCAGTTTCAATTCCCTTTACCACAAAATTCAATTATTAAGTAAACTAAAAAATATATAGTTTGCTCAATGTGAACATTAATACTCTGAATACCAAAAAAAGTATGAAGATTCATAAAATATATTAAAACTCATTTCACAAATTATCAAAGGAGACTTGAGATGAAAAACATTTTATGTATCACATATCCATCCTCCCAGTTGAGAACTCCACTTCTTTTGATTATTGATCCTCAACTATCAAATTAATGTTAAATTTCTTAAGAAAATAACTTTAAAATAAATTTTCATAAGAAGTGAATTAGGTAATACCTCCATCCAAGTAAGGGCAGGCCCACAGTTGATCTTGTTACCAGCAATAGCTGAAAGGCGTGACAGGTAAGCCATGAGCATCTGAGTGACTGACTGCAAAGAAAAAGTTCAGTATAACTCACAGGAAAGATACTGTACTCTCTGGCAGAGAAACTCTGAAGTGAACTGTTTATTGGTGAGGTAGAGGTGTGTTTACATATCTTGAAGCATTTTAATGGTTAYAGAGGATTTCACAGAGGACTGCCACTGAAACTATGGGCACTGACATGATGATTCAGACCCAGGGCTTTAACTTTTTACCCCTTATTATCAATGGTTATGTCATTCTACAACATTAGAAGTTATTTACTGCTCTATTTTTGTATTGAAAATGTAAAAAAAAATGTTTATTAAAGATCCATATTTGATTATTCTGCCTAGCTTTCCCCTGATTTCCAGAAACCCTATTCTCCAAGACTCTCTATAATCTTCCATGCCTGTGCCAGGTAGGAGCAGCCATGTTCATGAATGATCCTACCCCATGGAATAGCACATTGTCCATGAAATTTTAGAGTCTGAGAAAAATGAAGAAATAAGCAGAGATGGGAAATGAATACAGAGACTTCTAGGTTTTCTATAGTAAGAAGCAATCTTTGTGATTTTAAGACATCCCTAAGCCTCTAATGCAGGATCAGTCCCTCCATGACTGATGATGGCTCTTCTTTGCCCTATCTACTTAAACTGCCTTGGAATTAATTTTAAATTTAAAAGTACTTCCTCTTAGGATTTATAACTGAAGCTCAAAAGTCTAATGCTTGTTCTTTTGAGGAAAAAAAAATTCTGCTTCTTGTTCTATGGACAGTCATAGGATTTTTCTCTATGTTTTGACATCCTAAAATTTCACTACAGTGCTTCTTGGTGTGTGAGTCCTTTTGCTCATTATATGGTAGCACTCATGGGCCCTCTGAGTCTGAAAATATTGTTTTCTTTATTTATGGGGAAGTTTTTATATTAATTTTTATTTTATTTTTATTTCTTCCTATCTGATTTGTTCTCCTATAATCCCTATTAATAGGAACTGCTCTGGATCCATTCTCCACAATTTTCAACTATACTCTCAAAACTTTTTAATTTTTTGTCCCTTTCAAGATAATATTCTTTTTTTAAAAGTTAAATGTTAGTTATATCTTTGTTTAGTACAGATACAAGTAATTTACAGCTAATAGAATAGATAAMGCAAGAGGTAAAGCTTATAGCCCTTTTTGATATTGTTTTTTAAAACTAATCCAGCCATCTTAACCTAATATTCTTTTAATAATAATACTTCATAAAGTGCCTATTGTTTGTAAATAACTTATTTCTCAAGCACTATTGTTTTTCATGTTAACAATCAGTTAGATAAAATATTTCCTTTTATTTAGAATTTTGCATTTGGAAAGTTGTACTTGAACATCCCTAACTCCATACTCCAAATCAACAGTACCTCTTTATGTTCTACTCCCTAAACAGCTTTCTATTCAAACAAATCCAATGCTTTATACATATTGTTACCACCTTAAAATTCCCTTGTCAGGACCATATTCTTATAAATGACTTGACTTGACCTCAAGCTCACTAACTCTCTCTTTAGATATTTTCATTTTATATGTACTTCAGTTATTCAGATTGGTTATTATTAAAATTAAAAGATCATATGTTCTTTCCCAAAGTTTCTGATTATCTAATTTTCCAAAAATCTGTCCTTATTCATGGATATTATAACTCACTTCCCCTCAGAGGACAGCAATCATACATTCAAAGGCCTTCTGATGTACATTCTTCTCAGTTATATTCTGTTCACTCAGTACTTGCATGTAAAACTTCTAATTTACCTACCTTCTAGAATCATCCTATATGGGTTTTAGGCTATATTTTCTGTTCCCATAAATCTTATTCCACCTACTTTCAAAGACTCCTCCCAATTTTTGACTCCCAAAAGAGTCAAAAATTGACTAATGCTATAAAGAATTTCTTTTAAATTAAAAAAAAACTTTTTTTTTTTTTGCTAGAACTATTTAGCAGGAATGGAAACATGTGCACACACAACCTGCCATTATAAACTAATCAAACAGCACTCTTTGAATGTAGATTTTCTGTTTACTAGGAAGTAAACATTTTTAATTTTTCATGTTCTCATGTGCTATTTGAAGAATGGTTGCTAACATATAATGCCTGTTTACATATTATCATTATGAGGACTTTCTCCCTTATAAAATTATATACTGAACCAATTTTAACTATAAACATCCTACTAATGTTTCTGTTATGAAATAGAAATGATATGTAATCCTAGGAATGACTCTAAGTGCTCAACATAAACTTTTATTTAGTATACAGACAAAAGTTTCTACTAATTCATATATAATATGTAGTGATCACTTCTGCTTACCTCTGGACTGTCCTTAAGACTGTCAGAACGGGGAAGCTCTGAGAGCTGGGAGAATCTTCGGTCATAAATACAGAGATGAAGATGTTTATCAAGTACCCGAAAATCTTCATAACTTCTTTTAACAATCCAGCTTTTGCCCTATGCGTAGGGAAGAAACACTCCTATAATCGATCTTTATCTGGAAATGCTTTGGTATCAGGCCTTATTTTATAATGGTAGTTTATTCCTGAGACTTTATACTTTCTTTTTTTTCCTTTTTTTAAAATTTCTTACCTACATGAAAATAGTGGAATGCATTACAATCATAATTATCCATTCACAACACCATTTTTCATAACTCTGTCTATAAAGTATGTCCACTCAAAATTATGCCATTATACATGAGCTCTCAAGACTTTATACTTTCTAATAAGAAGTTTCTATTAACTCGATAGTAAATAGTTAAACTCCAAAACACTCTAGTGAATTATATTATACTGAAAGGTCAATAATGGAAAATAAGATAGAATTTTCCATTAACCCTCTTCCTACTACTGGTCAAAGTCCACAGACTCTGTTTGAGAATAACTGTTAGGTAGTGAAATAGTTCATGACTTTAAACCTATGGGGGAAAAAAGCATAAAATAACTCTGGGTCAGAGAATACTTCCTAAAATTAAAGAAAAATAAAATCAGTTGTTTGTCTAGTTATTACAAACATTTTCTATTACTGAGACTGGAAATATACTCAAAATCAAAACTATAAAACTATACTTCTGGTAAGGTATTAATTCCAGATTATATAGGATTATCAAGCAACTTAATAGCAAAAGAATAATAACCTGATTTTAAAATGGGCAACAGACTAAACAAACATTTCTCAAAAGAAGACATACAACTGTCCAACAGGTTTATAAAGAAATGGTCAATATCACTAATCATCAGGGAAATATAAGTGAAAAGTATAAAAAGATACATCAATTCAATTAGAATGTCTATTATTAAAAAGACAGAAGACAACAAGTTCTGGTAARGATGTGGAAAAAAGGGGACACCTGTATACTGTTAGTAGAAATATAAAACTATGGAGGTTCATCAAAAAATTAAAATAGATTTACTATATGGTTTGACATTCCCATAGCCTATCGGGTATATAACCTATGTATTTTATATACATATCAAACTGTCAAAGAAATACTTGCACTCCCATGTTCCGTTGTAGTACTATGCACAATAGTCACATTATGGAAACAATTTAAGTGTTCATCCATGGATGAATAGATTTTAAAAATGTGATATATATGTAAATATATA